CACTCACACACCAGTCACTCGCACACCATTCACTCGCACACCATTCACTCGCACACCAGTCACTCGCACACCATTCACTCGCACACCATTCACTCGCACACCAGTCACTCGCACACCATTCACTCGCACACCATTCACTCACACACCAGTCACTCACACACACACCTTGACAATTTGGTAACTCCATTTAACCTCAGTATGTTTTTGGACTGTGGCGGAAACCAGAGTACCCAGAAAGAACCTCACAAACAACACAGGGAGAACATGCAAACTCCACACGTGGAGCCATGGCGGAGAATCAAACCCGCTAACCACTGCGCCACCATGTGGCCCAGATGGATCAGTGGTGTTGTGAAAATAATTTATCACTTCTGCTTTACTCAATGTCTTGCTGCATGTTGTACTGTTTTATTGTAGAGACATTTCAGAAAGCCACTACCATACTTTTTCTGAATCCAATCGATTTTTTCAGCTTATGAAGAATTACAAGTCAACAGGTTTGTGGCCATCCTTGGAATGAGCATCACTGTGGCTTTTCAGTCACCAGACACATACAGGAAATATCAGGCTTATGATATTTCACATTTATTCATTTAATTTACAAATCGTTGGCTGGTGAAGATTCTTACTTGCTATTGGTAAGAAAATATCATCATTGAGATAAACATTAATGTAAAATATGACATTGATCTGAAAAGTATTTTCCTATAACCTTTTTTTCAGTTCAATTAAAGTATAGGTCAGCTATCGACCACTATACCCACCTAAAAAAGAACATTACAGAACATTGTTTTAATGCTTCCAGAATGAGATTGAATGTCTGGGTTACTTGTTCTACTCTATGTGTCTTTTAAGGCCTTTCACCGCCCTTTGCTTCCATTGACAGACTCAGTCCTTTTGTATTAAAATCCCTTTATTTTTCTGAACATGTACTGTATTAATGTATAAGCTAATTTATGTTATGCGAATCGGATATCAATGTCAAGGTACAAAGCCGTCCAACAACATACAGATATAACAGTAAATATGAATAGGTGGGAACGAAGACTAGAATCTGATTTTTGAGCAATTCCCTCCTTTGTATATTGTTAGATGGACTGAAACTAACAATAATACTCGCAATTATATAGGTTCCAGTATGCAGTGCATTCATAAATAAAAAATCTATATCCTTTCTTAGTTCCCCCCAAAACAGTGAGCCTGTATCAAGTTCTTAATAATATATATTTAGTCAAATCTGAATTTATTCTATTGGTATCCATAGTTTCTAATGTAACATGTGTTTCTCATAAACTTCTTTCAAGAAATGTGTAGAAACAATGTAGCAACTGGATTTATTTGAAATGGCTTCTCATCCAACTATATTTTCCAATAAAATTTTTATTGGGCACTGCTCAGCGTCATTAAAGTCCCATATCCTCTTAGTGGAAGCTGACGTCTAAGTAAGTATATAAAGGTGAAATGTGACATGCTGGGCCAAGTCCACTGATTCTAGGACATAAACTGTGGCTCCCTGCTTCCTCCCTGTGGCAGATTGGTTGAGCAAATGAGATGACACCACTTCTGTTAATGCATCAGCGTGGTGGCTGCATGCTATTCAAATCTGCATGATACAGATTTATCATCTAATAATATACATTTTAGCCAGAATGTTTTCATTTTATTCATAATGTGCTGTATAAAAACCTGGGGAAAATGGACGTATTAAATGATCATACATTTATTACTACTACCTGTGATGCTGACTGGCATGCAGTGCCGCAACAACGGATTTCCACTTCTTTCTGTTTTGAAACACCTTCAGTGCCCAGTCCATGGTGCAGTTCCGCAGTATGCCTCTGGGTGTCCTTCAGTCTGCCTCACTACCATTAGCCTTCTGGGGTCCAGTGGAGAGCTGTTCTTGTGAAGGTTGTCTTGTTATCTGCCGGTAGTGTGCCTGAACCATCTCCTTCTATTCATAATGATGATGCCTGTAATCTCTTGCTTGTATCTGGTTAGCAGTTCCTGGTTGGAGATGGTTCCTGGCTAGAAAATGTGCAGGATTCTTCTCAGGTTACTGGTACGGAACATTTGGGTGCTTTTTGTTATAAATTAATATTATAACTGAATTTTAATAAAAAAAATATCAGTTTGAAGTTTACATTTCACCAAAAAAATGAATCTGTGTGATAAGTGGATCTCTCTTAAAGTAGCCGTTTATATTCCCTTCTTACAAATTACATTTCTATAGTCAGAAGCACTTTGGTCATCTTAGTCACTCATATAATTTGCATTGATCCACTAGGAATTGGGGGTGTAAAGTGAGCTGGATTGGACTTCACAGCTGACCATGGCTCTGCTGGATGTATCAGACATTGCAGGCTGCTGGGGGCCTTGCGTGAGATGCCCCACTTCTGCAGTTACAGTAACAGTAAGTCATATATGTGTTACTTTGTTCCCTTAGGGCTGAGATAATAAGATGGAAGAAAAGGGCAGTGAATTTTCATAGCTATGAGTTGTGTGGCACAGAGCAATAATTTCAATGTACGGCTGTGAGTCATAGATAATGGCTGTGACTCATTAAACAAAAAGAAAAGAAAATTAAACAAGCCACATATAACACATGTATTATTTAAAAAAAAAAATGGTTTTCAGAGATCAGCCAGTCACTGTTTATAGTTGTTCCATCCATCTTCTAACCACTGATCCCCGCCAGGATTGCGGGGGGGGGGGGGCACATTTATTCCTTTCGAAGCAAATGAATCAAAGAAAATGAAATCAGAATTAAAATGCAGGGGTATAGCAGATACGGATTAAAGACAAATATACTTTCTTACATGCACCTCCCTGGTTGTGTTACAGGTGCAGTCCCAGCGAAGGGCACGATGCAGAGATGCACCTCCCTGGTTGTGTTACAGGTGTAGTCCCAGCGAAGGGCACAATGCATGCACCTCCCTGGTTGTGTTACAGGTGTAGTCCCAGCGAAGGGCACGATGCAGAGATGCATCCTGCTAATTCATCACAGGACACAAGCACGCACCCAAAGTCCACATATTCGTATCTTTATGGGGACTTTCCATTCATTTCTATGGACAAAACCCTAACCCTAACGATGAAAACCTTAACCTCTACGTAGCCTTATCTTTAACTAGTAGTAACCAAATAAAATACAAGACTTTTGGGAGTTTTAGTTTTTTTTTTTTGATTGCATTCAGAGATTTTCATTAAATTGAATTTATTGTTGTGGGGACAGAAAAAATGTCCCCACAAGGTAAAAAGTTGCAGGTTTTTAATACATTGTGGGGAAATCTGGTCCCCACAAAGTAATAATTACAANTTGTGGGGACAGAAAAAATGTCCCCACAAGGTAAAAAGTTGCAGGTTTTTAATACATTGTGGGGAAATCTGGTCCCCACAAAGTAATAATTACAAACACACACACACACACACACACACACAATTAACATAACATGGGCCTTTATTACTGCGACTGAGAAGTTGTTGAATGACTGGCAGACTTTTACAACATGTGATATGTAAAACATGAGCACAATAAATGTAATTTTTATCGTTATGTCATCATCGGGCTGTGTAGTTATCTTACAGTTAGAAGAGATTATTTAAGATTTTTGGAGGTTAGGAAGCTTGTGTAATACACACTTGCTTTCTTATGTTTGGATGGGAACAATAATTCGACTGTTATCCTAAAGTTAGAAGAGCTTATTTAGGACTTTGGGAAGTTACAATGTATACATCCCCGGGATGGGACATGGAAAATGCAACTGTAAATGAGAATTCAATCAACTAGGCCAAATTGATCTGTTGTGACTTTGTTTGCAATATAACCAATCAGGTGTTATGTTTTGCCTAGAGCCCGCCCACTGAGTTTGATGGGTGACTTTGACAGATAATTATAATGGTGGCTGGTATCATTTAAATCAGGGGTGGGGTGCATCTGAAATATTTTTAGGAAAAGTTTTGAAATTTAATATTCTGGTTGAGTTCCAGTGCTTGACTGTCCTTCAGTGAGATGATTTGCTCTTAAAAATGAATGTAATCCTTCCTCAGCAATGATTTTCTTAAAATATTAATATATCTACAGCCACGTCCATGCAACGTACAGTATACCTGTACATATTTCTCACAAGTAGCATTACATGGGATTTTGTGTTTTGGTTTAATATTTTAACAACATAGTGAGTCTCTGCAGTTTAAACGTATTCATATGCTGATTCAAAATATGAACTGTCAGAATTTCTGGTTTATAAGTTATCAGTAAAATGTATTCATTACATTTATGCTTATCTGACATAAAAGAAAGACTCAGAAAGTTAAGGAAACTTTAACATCTTCTCAAACGGTAACCTGCAAAAACATTCTGATAGCTGCTATCTATGTTTCGATTGATGTAGCTTTCATTTTTCAGGAACATCCTTCTAGTGCTGTAATAAATAGTAAATCCAGCAGCCTCTGTAATTCTTAGAGGATATATTTTACAGTTTATGGTTGTCTTGGTTGCCAGTTCTGGGCGACTAAGCATCATTTATGAATGACCCGTGCCTCTCAACTGAAAACTCAAAGAGGCAAATGTTTTTTTGCCTAAGTACTGTTTTGGCCTCCTGGCTTACAATATAGTGGTCATCCATCCATTAAAGCTTTGTTTTTTATTATCATTTCCAGAGATAAAAGCCAGTTCTCCGTGTGAAATTGGGTTTCCTGTACATGATTAAACCTGATTTATATGCTGCTTATAGCCCAACTTTAACAACAGGCCTAGAAAAAAAATTGCAGTGGATATTTTGCTTGTCAAAATATATGATTTTTGGCAGCCAGGTCAATGATTAATCTTCTATAAATGGGAGTCATTGAGAAAATGAATGTGATTCATAACTGTCAGCCTTGAATAAAGTCATGGACAAATCGGTATACTGCATATAAAAGATAAAATATGATGGACTGTAATTCTTCTATTTAAATATTCTTTTTAGGTCTTTATGCAGTCAAGGCACAGAACAGCCTCTACTTGTGGAATCAGGGAATAGAGGTAGCAATTACAAACCTAAGAAAATTATATTATGTAAGTGAAAGTTAGTTATTAAAGTGAGCTCCTATGATATATAGATGTTCATGAGGATTTGTGTAAACCTACTTTATAATTCTTCGGTATGAGCTGAATCTACTCGGTACTCGTGAAATATTTTTCATCCTGCTAGCGCAGTTGAATGAAGCAACAAGTAAAAATAAAGTTTGGAATTTCCTCTCTCTTTTCTCTGTCTCTGCCTGTCTGTCTGTCTGTCTGTCTGTCTGTCTCTGCCTGTCTGTCTGTCTCTGCCTGTCTGTCTCTGACTCCCTTTACCCCCACCCCCCCAAAGTGATGGCACATGCTGCAGGGAAATGGGGGGAGCCTCTTTCTCTACTTAAATCAGTTGGAGAAATTGATACCTTTCCCTACAGGTATTTGGTATTTTAGCTCCTGGCATTTTATATTTTATTTGTATGCATCATCAAATGAGCTTAAAATCTAAATAGTATGCCTGCATCTGTGCATCTGCATAAATATAAAGTAATTTGTAATTATTTTATTTTAGTAGATATGATAGACTTTAACTTATTGGCTTTTTACAATAGATTTTTAATCTATTATAATAGATTTTAATTTTAGATTTTAATTGTATGTGTGTGTGTGTGTGTGTGTGTATGTAATACGTAGTGTATTTTAGTTACCACTCATAATCACAAAAAAAGCAAAAATATAAACACATGAATAATATACATATTTCACTTTCATACATTCAGAAGATGGAATTATGATATATTCTTCTGAATATGGAAGTATCAGTGTTAAAGATTCAAAATGAACTGAGAACACAATGGATATAATGCTATCAGATTTTATTGCTTAGAAAAAAAATTGTGAGGTAATTAATTGTTTAAAATCAGGTTGCAGATTTTCCTTTGGTAAAAGGTAGAAGAAAATTTATTTTTTGCATATATATCATTATTCTTCCATATAGTTTGTTAGAATAAAAGAATAGAATAAAAATATTGTGTATTTTGTGTACTCCAGAGCTGACTTGAAGGGGTGTAAAGGTTAAAATGTTAACAAACGTTGACCTTATGTATTAGCTAAATAAAACACACAGAATCCTAATTAATTTGTGTGATTTTTCCCCAGCAGTGTTTACAACTAGCAGCTGTCCCCTGCTCCCCCATTGGGTCACTCAATTTAACGTGGTGAGATGGGGGTCGTCAGGCGGCAGCCTGGCTCTGCTCACCTGCCCATGATTATCTGCTTTTTCAGCATATTGCTTTATTAGCTGCTTTGTTTCTCCCCATTAACCCACACCAGAGACATACTGCCGTATGTGTCAAAAACTCTGTCAAAAGGATATGTTTGTGTTTAATGTGTTTTTTCAAAATTAATTATTACCCCATAAAACAACATTGTTTTTGTCACCCCATCCCCTTCCTATTTGTCTGTATGTCCCTGAAGATATGAACTGCAAAAACTGTGGTCTGCAGCTCCATCCACCCAAGTTCTATAATGTTTGTTCTATTCAGGGTTGTGAGGGATCCACCTATGGGAAATTTGGTAACTCCAATTAATGTCAGCATATTTTTGGAATGTGGGGGGGGGGGGGTGAGCGGAGGAAACCCCACAACGACAACAGATAAAATGCTGATATTGTGCTGGAAGATAGGACTCTAAGTTTAGAAGGCACTCAAAATGCCTGTAACACTGAAGAACAGGATAAGGAGATAAGCATTATAGCATAGTTGATGTTTATGACGAGGTTGGATAAAAAGCTTTTAGATACCAAACAGCTGAATGTTGACTGCATATTTAAGGTTAATATTAATTTATAATAAGCAATGTGGTTGCCACTACTATAAAAATACACAGATGGTAATAGTACATATGTAACATTAGCAAAGTTACATATTACACCATGATCTTGCATGGAATAAGCAATAAGGAAAATGGGATGGTGTTTGGCTTGGTGGATTATGGATTTGTACCCATTTCTATAAGATTGTTGGTTCGA